GTACATGCAGGCAGAACACTGTGTACATAATAAATAAATCTTTAAAAAAAATGTTTAAGGGACAGGAAAGCAAGTAGACTTCTTTATAAAGTTTTCTGAAGACAGAGAAAGCGAAGAGAGTGTGTGTTTCAATGCTGGGAGCTAAATCTAAACCCTAGGACTTCCTCCACGACCATCCTGCTGAGAGCTGTCTGGGAGGCAGGCTTGTAATAGCCAGCGTGGAAACAGCAACTGGCCTTGGCTCACGCCTCAGTTCCTCAGCATTTTACTCTTGGGGTAGGAAACTCACTTCTGGCTGCACCTTTTCCCTGTCTGTGAGTGGAGCAGGCTGGAGCTGATGAGCTCCGGGCCCCATCTTGCAGCTCTGAGGATGGAGAGTCCTTCATCCTGAGGAATGGCTGCAGCCCGAGAGATCATTTCAAGATGCCTTTAACCCCAGCACCGAGAAAGCGGAGGCAGGGGGATCTCTGTGAATTCAAGCACAGCCTGCTCTACACAGCCAGTTCCAGGATCGCCAGAGCTACATAGAGAGGCGCTGCCTTAAAAATAAACGATGACTGAAAGGGGTGTAGATCAGTTGGCAGAGTATTTGCCTAGAGTGCTCAAAATCTAAACCCCATATCGAGGTGCAAGCATGTAATCCCAGGTGGAGGCAGAAGGATCAGGTGTTCAAGGTCATCCTTGAACATGGCAAGATGAAGAAGCCAGCCTGGGCTATACATAAAAAAAAAAAAAAAAAAAAAAAAAAAAAAAAAAAAAAAAAAAGTTCAAATATCTGCATTGCTGGTGAATAGTAGCACTATGGTTGGAAACCATGGGAACCTATCAGGGCTCTGCTGGTCACCTTCTCCAGAACTGAAGGCCATTCACCTCCCTCTGATGCATGCTGTTTTCAACTCTAAAATAGTTAAGAGAGTTGAGCATGTTTTTCATCCACAGAGTGCTTCTCTAGCTTGCAGGGGGGCCTGGGTCCAATCCCCAGGGTTGCAAGTATAAAATAAAGATCATAACTTTGCAAGATTCTTGCAAGGATCAAGTGTCATGAACCTTGTGATGGATGCGACAGACTTCGGAAATGAGAATCTATGAGCCCTCCCGGCTGGCCATATTCAGCCCCCTCTTCGGTGACGTCCCTCCCTCTTTACCGCTTGCTTTCTGAATTCGACCCTCAGTGGGTTTCCTCAAGCCACAAACTCCTTTCCACACACGGTAGGCTTCTTCTGGTGGATCCACTGTCCCTAGGACCAGGGCTTTGCTTGGTACAATCGTTCCTCATTTGTCTAACTGTTATTACTATAGGGGAAACTTGGCTAATTGTTTCAAGCCAGCTAGAGACATAATTTGTGCGAATGTGCTGGGCACACAGGTTTGTCTCCTCTGAAACGAGAGAGAAGTATGATTAAACCGATGTTTAATTCGGCTATTCAAATGAAAACGGAATATGGTAGCAAATACTTCATACCTGGAGTCTTTGCTTGGGTTGAGTTAGCCCTTCTTTTTGGCAGAAAGCCAGAAAGAACAAGGGTTTTAAACACAGAGTAGAGATTTGAAACGCTGGAGCTCTACTGAGGTGCGTTTTTATTGGAAAGGAAGGCAGGCTTTGGATACAAGCTTGCTCTCTCTTTTCCCCCCAGAGGAAACCGAGACTAATTAGGGGGAAGTGAGAAGGGACCCCCCAAGAGTGGGAGAAGCAGCAAGGAAGGACACCCCAAGTCTACTCTTGTAAATGATTTAACTGCACATGGGGCGGGAAGAAATCTTTAACACTTGCAATGGCGGTGTTAATCACCATTATAGGTTAATTAATACCTATAATCCCAGCACTCGGAGACAGAGGCAGGAGGATTGCTAAAACCGGTCTGTATATGAGTTCTAGGCTAGCTGGGACTGCTACGTAATGAGACTTTTTTTTGCAAACAAAACTAGACAGGATGTCTTTTCCCATCCCCAGCTGGTCCTACTTCTGGATGTGCTGAACTAGCAATTTATAATCTGTCCTGAAGGAACACCATCTCTCTGACGGAAAACCCTGACCATCTACATTAGAGTACTGAAGTCAGAGATGTCCTCGGATATCTTTAAAGGCAAACTTCCGGGTTGGCTGTGAGTATCTTTTGTTTGACGGCTCTGGCGGGTGATTTCTCCAGGAGTGCAACCTCACTTGGTAATTCCCCTGGGTAATAAAGGTACCCAGGCCTGTCTATCTGTCACTGTAGCCTCCTGCTGTCCTTGGGAATGGAAACTGCTGCCACCTTCTGTCCTGATCACCTATACATAGTCACTGATTCTGGCTGAGCAACCAGGAAGTATTGTTTCTTGACCATTGTGATGAATCACAAGGCAAAAACGCTGGTGAAAAGAAATAGGACCTAGTCCAAGTACAAACTGAGGCCTGGGTTCACTGGACGCGATGACTACTGAGAGCTGGCTTATTGAAATGGATAGCTTAAGGGTTAAGAGCGCATACTGCTCTTGTAGAGGAGCCAAGTTTGGTTCCCAGCACGCACATGGGGTGATTCACAACTGCCTGCAACTCCAGCTCCAGGAGATCTGACACCCTCTTCTGGCCTTCATGGGCAATAACATTCACGTGCATGTATGTGTGTGTGTGTGCGCGCGCGCGCGCGCGCGCGCTTAAAAATAAATGTCTTGAAAGTGCTGTGTGTTACTCATGGACATTCAATGTCTTCGTTTGAGGAGAAGATACATCTTTCAAGGGTGTTGTTTCCTTTTCCGTTTTTATCTAGAGTGACTGACTCGTCTTGGATCCTGGGAGACATTCAGGTCCTGTTCTGTCTGTGCCCCTCCCCCCGCCTCCCCCCCCCTCCCGTCCCCGGTCCTGGAGTTTGCTTATTCATCACGCTGTACTTCCAGCTTCGAAAAGCCACCTTTCAGAGGTCAGCCAGCACTGTCCTGCTGGAGGGTCAGCTAAGTGGTGTGGAAAGGAGTGACTGGCCCAGACCAGGCCAGAGTGGGAAGAACATGAACTTGGTGTTAGATAGCCCATAGATTAGCGCTCTGGAAACGGTCCAAGGACAATAAAAGCAGAGAAATCTGTTTTCTTTTTCAGATATTGACTGTGAAGTTGGTGGTGGGTCTCGAATACATGTCAGGGACCAACTGAACAGTTTGCTCCCACTTCCCACCCCCTTCCTCCTTCCTTCCTTCCTTCCTTCCTTCCTTCCTTCCTTCCTTCCTTCTTTCTTTCTTTCTTTCTTTCTTTCTTTCTTTCTTCCTTCCCACCCCTTCCTCCTTCCTTCCTTCCTTCCTTCCTTCCTTCCTTCCTTCCTTCCTTCCTTCCTTCCTAACTAAGTCGTGCTATGTAGCCCCCAACTAGCTTAGTACTATATAGATGAGGTTGGTTGAACTCACAGCAATCATCTTACCTCAGTTTCCCAAAGTGCTGGAATTACAGGCATGGACTAACACACTCAATCTCTGCTAGCCTCCCCTCCCCATCCACCCCCCCCCTTTCCTCCCTTTACAGGGTTTTTATTCTGTAGTACACAGGCTGGCCTGTAGCTAACAGAAATCCACCTGCCTCTGCCTCCAAACTCTGGGATTAAAGGAGTATGAAGCCACCCTCGGCCTGAGGCCAGCTCCAGTCTCCTCCATCCTCAGTCTTGGAAAGCTGCCAAAACGAGCAGGGGTCAAATGAAATAGCCCAAAGCACTCTGGGAGGAAGTCAGAGAAAACATGTGGAATAAAATGTTCAATTTCTAGGGAAAGGTGAGCCCTATTTACCAAGAGAAGTTGCAAATTCAGGCACCTGCAAGTAGATTGGGACCTTCCGCCTCTAGGCTCACAGCCCCGGGAATGCAAGCCCTGAGCATCTCTTGCTTCCTGTGGGTGAGACCACCTGGGCATAAGCCAGTTGTGGGTAGAGGAGTGCATTCCTCAGAACTTAAAGATGGATTCCTTCACACAAAAAAGCACAGGATGGAAGGTAAGTAGACCTTCCAGGGGCCTGCAGCAAGAGTATTTACATGTATTTAACGTGGGGGAAAACCTGTGGCTAACGCGGTTAACAACTGCTTGTAAATGGGAGAATCCTGATTCCAGGGAGCTGAAGGGCTTGGAGAAGAAGGTGCTCGGACCCACGGCCTCCTGAAGAGAATGAGGTCTATCATGTTAATGGATCGCCGCATCTTATTCAGGACGGGACAAAGGGCCTGGGGTTTGGGAATGGGAGTTTGTTTTGGGATCCTTTACTATGGAGATGCCCTTCCCAAAGGTAAGGAGGAGGGCCTTGGCTGGAGTCATCCCACAAGCGAGTCCTAACCAGCCTGGCGTGAGTTGGGGGTAGGGTTGAGACTCAGCACGGGGGTGATGCTCCCCTCGGTTGTGGCCCCCCTAATAGCACATGAAAAAGGCACCGAAGCCAGCGGAAGCAAGTGATGTTATGTTTCGGCAACTTTAGTGAAACGCCAAGCTCCCCAGCCTCGCCTGAGCCTCTTCACACTTTCCTCTAGAACCACAGGTTTAGCAGAGATGATAAAACTCCAAACTCTCCTCCTCGGCCCGGCCAGGGAAGGTGAGAGATGAGCACTTCTGAATGAGGTGGGGAGGGGTGGGGGAGGGGTGGGGGAAGGGGTGGGGGAAGGGGAAGGATCTGGGGGTCCCTGCTGACTTGCCTCTGCCTATCTCTTGGGGTCCTAGCTAAGGTCACTATTGCTGTGATAAAACACCATGACCAAAACAACTTGGGGAGGAAAGGGTTTATTGGGCTTATACTTCCACAGCACTGTTGGTCATTGAAGGCAGTCAGGACAGGAACTCCAACGGAGCAAGAACCTGGAGGCAGGAGCTGATGCAGAGGCCATGGAGGGGCCCTGTTTACAGGCTTGCTCCCCATGGCTTGCTCAGCCTGCTTTCTTATCGAACCCAGGACCACCTGCCCAGGGGTGGCCCCACCCATAATGGCCTGGTTCCTCCCCCATCAATCACTAATAAAGAAAATACCCTACAGACTTGCCTACACGCCTGATTTTTTTTTTTTAAAAAAGTGTAAGTCCCATTTTATTTTTCCAAGGTGTTTTTTCTTCTGTCTTTATGAAGCCATCTCTTCACATGGGCTTTGGTGGAGGTCCTGGTGCAGCACCAGCAGGTCTAAATCGTGGTGGGGGTGTCCGGTCCTTGCGGGCTTCACGGGATCGATTCCTGACTGCCTTGCTCTGAAGAGCACAGCTCACGCAGTAATGCAGCTTCACATAGAGATTGGGAAGCACATAGGCCTCGAAGACACTTACTTCGGATATGTCCCTGACAGCAGCGGCCTCTGCAATGTTCCGAATGATGAACTTCTTAATGGCTTTGTCTTTGGGCATACACCGTTGTTTCTTCTTCTTTTTTTTTTTTTTTTTTGGTCATCTTGGAGCCAAGACCCGAAAAAAGAGCACAAGCCTGATCTTATGGAGGCATTTTTCTCAGTTGAGGTTCCTTCTTCTCTGGTCACTCTAGCTTATGTCACGTAGCCAGCACACTTGGGGGAGGCGAGGCATGCAAAGTAGGATCTGGATACAGAGAGCCTTGCCATGGCAGGAAGGGTGTGAGGTGGCATTGAGAGTGAGGGAGAAAGGCCCTGGTGGATGGAGAGGCGGACTCGATGTAGGTGCGTGAACAGCAGCGTGTGTTCGAGGCACCAGTAATCCCTGGAGAGGCAGGAAGAGATGAGTGTGCTTATGGATCCTCCTAGTTGGCATGGGAGACCAGCCTGAGAGAAAACGAGGCATCCCTTGCTGCTGGGGTGGAATTTGCTGCTGCGTAGACGTGTTTCGTCCATGTAGTATTGTCTCAATGGTGCTCAGTGGCCTCACTGGTGAGGAGACATTGCGTCTCCTTTTAGGGATGCAGATGGGCTATTCCTAGTCACAGTGGGGAGACCCAGAGGCCGGTGTCTGGGGCTCTGGAGGTGGGTTTGACCATCACAGAGTTTCTGCTTCCTAAAGGCTTGGCCCATGCTCTACTTACCTCTTTTTTCTTTCTACGGGGTTGCCTCGCCCAGCATTGAGATGAGGGTTTGTGCCTAGTCTTATTGTATCTTGTTATGCTTGTTATGTTTGGTGGATATCCCCAGGAGGCCTGTTCTTTCTTGAAGGTAAACAGAGGAAGAGTGGATCTTTGGGGGAGGGGAAGAGGAGCGGGAGGAGTGGAGGGAGGAGAAACTGGGGTCAGGATGCATTGGAAACAAAAACATCAATCAATCAATCAATAAGAATAAAGGGGCCTCTTCCCTTTGTGTATTCTGCATCCTCTGGAATAGGTTGTGTACAGCAGTAAGTGATGAAGAAATGATTAAGTAAGTTGGGAGCTAGTTTTTTTGTTTGTTTGTTTATTGAGTTAAGCTTTCACATAACCCAGGATGATTGCCAACTCACTGTGAGACTGGTCTTGAACCCCTGATGGACTGGATGTTACCAGGCTGGCTTTGAATTCACTAGGCAGCCACGGATGATCTTGAACTTCTGATCGCCCTGCCTTCCCCACCAGGTTGCTAGTGCTGGGATTAGAGGTGCATGACCTTGGGGCTGGTTTTTTGCCATGCTGGGGAACAAACATGGTAGGCAATCACTCTACCCACTGAGCCGGAGCTCTTCCTCTTAGCGGGGCAAAGGATGTTATTGTTTGTTTGTTTGGAGGCAAGGTTTCTCTGTGTAGCCCTGGCTGTCCTAGAACTCACTCCGTAGACCAGGCTGGTCTCGAACTCACAGAGATGCACCTCCTCTGCCTCCCCAGACTTGTTTTTCACAGCATTTCCCTACATATACCAGCTGGTCTGGAGTTTACTGTGAACCCTGGACTGGCCTGAAACTCACAGAAGCCTCAGTCTACCAAATACTGGCATTACAGATGGGCGCCTCCATACCTAAGTGGATTTTTCTTTATCTACTTAAAATGAGAACGTATTGGGCTGTGAGGGAGGCCCTTTCCTGTTCCAGTCATCTGAAGACTTCTGAGGGTCACCACGGAGGGAAGGGGAGCAGGAGGGAGAAGGAAACGTGGGGGAGGGCAGGAGTGAGTGTGTTCAGACATCTTTCCCCTTTTGCCCGGCTCCCACTGAAGCCCACAGAACAGTTCCACTCACATTCAGGGTGCATCTTCTATCTTCCACAGAGATTCTAAGTCCAGTCAAGGAGGAAATGGAGATTAAGCCATCAAAGCTATCTGTCTACCCACTCCCATCAATGAGACCACCCTTGGGAGAATGAATTGCCCTTTCCCGTGGCTTGTGTGTGCCCTGGCACTATTGAGGATGAGATGCCATCCCCACACTTGTTGGGGGGGGGAGGTGTGGCACAAGAGCACGTGTGATACCCCCACTTCTCTGGCCTTCTTTTCTTCTCTCATGAATGTCAGCGTGTGTGCATCTCAGAGGTAGATGCTCTTGGGCTCCCGGATTGGTGGGGCAGGTGTGGCTGAAGAGGGGCCACCACAGGGTTCTAAGTAATAGGCGCCAAAGCGGTGCCCAAGAGAGGTAGGTTCTGGTCAAGCGCACGAGAGACCTTTCCTCCGCTCTCTCCTCTGTCACAGAGTCCCCCACCAAGCTCACCTGCCCACGACACAGTGCCTGTCCTTACAGGCCACTCTCTTTGGGGTGTTTTCTCTACTTTCTCCTGGGCAAATGAACCTTGATTCTTCGCAAGCGATCACTTCTGCTCTCTACAATCACGCTGGACAGAACTGCCTCTCCCACGGCACCCCACTGGTCCCTGTGGTCACCCGGTGTCGAGATCCTGTGCTCAGTGTCTTCTCCAGGTGGACTTTGAGCTTCTTGAGTGCAGGGTGGTGGCACTGACCCGATTTGTTGCGGGAGAATGATATTTCATCCCTTCCAGGTTCTATCTGGCTTCTGTCTGCCGAGTGCCTCTGTGTGGTGTGTGGGCCTGCGAGGTGGGAACCGGAGGATGGCCGCCATCCCCTAATGTATTGTTGCCTTTCTGATGTGACAGGTGAAGACCACAGGCTTTGCTGTTATTGACCTGCTTAGATCACCATTTCCAATGCTGCCTCAGTCACGTATGTGTTAAAGTAAGGGCTGGAGATGTAGTTCATGCAGCAGGATGCTTGCACATACTCCAAAGAGAGGGGCCTGCCATGGCTAACAGTCCTTGTTCCGGCAGCCACCCTGCAGTAGGAAGGTAAGCTTGCTTGGCGCTCTGTGTAATAGACCAGAGAATTGATTAATGGGCACTGCGTGGTGCCTTGAGCCTGTAATCCCTATACTTGGGTGGTAGAGGCATGAAGATCCAGGGTCCAACCAAGGCCATCATCCTCTCCTACATAAGTGAGTGAGTGCCAAGCCAGCCTGGGCTACGTAAAAACCCGTCTTGAAGTAAATAAGTAAATAAAAAGTAATAAATAAACAGAGATAAACACCTAGTGGGTTTGAATTATTGTGAGGAGATAAATTAATACAGTGGTCACATTCACAATCAGCATCAGCATTCACGAAATGCTTTTAGCAATTACTTTTACAATATTTAAAAAAACCTGGCCAACCTGGCAAAGAATTTGCAGAAACAACCTGAGTAGATACAGCCCAAACTTGGAGATTCCCACACCTGCCAGGCATGTGGCCTCTTTCACGGTCATATCAATTCATGTCTCTCTCTCCTCTGACATGTTACCACACATTCTGAGCAGGCCTTGGGCAAGGAGATGGCAAAGGCCCCCAGCTCAGAGCCTCTGTGGTAGGTGGTCCAGTGCCACTGGCAAGGACGCTATGGAGTCCACTCACTGGTATGTCCTTTCTTCGGAGCCACTGGCCTCTTCTGTAAAAGGCACAGGAATCCCAGCCTCACACAGAAGTAAATGAAATAAAGGACTTAAGGTAAATTACAAATACTACCAAATGTAACGGGTTATGACTAGCTTTAGCTCAGTTTGCATGATCTTTGCCTGAGGTGGGTTAGAGATATTCCTAAGGTAGAACTTCCAGCCACCTGCTCTTAGAACTTCCCCTTTCCCCTGCCTCCTTAGAGCCCGGGGACTGGATGGGCTGACATAGACCTAAGTAGACATTTCTAGAGAGCCTTGTGCACACCTTTCCCGGGGAGGACTTTCCTTAGTCACTGTCTCGGGGCGGATGGACAGGCCTCTGCCCAGCTCTTTGGAGTTGGTGGCTTGGTCTGGGACTGTCTCATCCCTTCCTGTCCTGGGGCCAAGCCCTAATCACTTCTTTCACAGCCTTTGTGCGGCTGTCTTTCACTGGGGCCCCGGCACAAAGCCCGGGTGAGCTGAGGTCAGATTTTCAACCTTTGGCTCTGGATTTCCTGTCTTTTGTGGAGTGGACGATAGATTATACCACCCAGCTTCCCGTCATTTCAGCACAGGGGGCTCCCCTGTCCTGGCACCAGCCCACTCCAGGAGGCTGGGAAATCCTTTTTGGAACAGGAAGGCAGAGGATCTGCCTTCATGCCCAGCTGCTCAGACCCTCTTATTGTGGAACATTTTTTTTTTTTTTTTTTTTTTGAGGTCTCCTGGTCATTGAAAAGGAATTCTAAAGGCTGTGCAGATGGCTTAGGACGTAAAGTGCTTGTAATATAAGCATGAGGGCCTGAGTTTGGATCCCCTGCACCCATGCCAAGCCAGACTTGGTACCATCCATCTGTAATCCTGGACTCATATAGTAAATGATGAGAGCAGACGGGAGAATCTCCCGAAGCTGGAAGCTCAGAAGCCAGCCAGCCTTGGTGAATGCAGCGGCAAACAAGAGACCGTGTCCCCAAACGAGGTAGACCGTGTGGACTGATACCAGAGGTTGTCCTCTGGCACTTGTGAGTGCTGTAGCAAGTGCACACCTGCATGAAGACACACTACCACGCCCACACAAACACCCTCCTCCGCAGCGTGCATACACACACACACACACACACACACACACACACAAACCCCATCCATCTTTATACATATACAAATACTACCTCCCCACTCACAATTTTGTTTTTGTTTTTTGAGATGGGGTTTCTCTGGATAGCCTTGATTATTCTGGAACTCATTTCATAGACCAGGCTGGCCTCAGACTCACAGAGATCCACCTGCCTCTGCCTCTGCCTCTGCCTCTGCCTCTTGAGTGCTGGAATTAAAGGTGTGCACCACTACTGCCTAGCCATAAATATTTTTTATTTAAATTTTATTTTGTTTTGTTTTGCTTTACACATTTTTTTTTTTAAAAAAAATTACGACTTACAGGATTCGAAGTCTGATATCATTCTAAATATAACTGGGAATAATATAGGATATATATAGTGTTCCCATTTTAAAAAGAAAAAGGGGAAGAAGAAAGGGTCAGTCCTGTGGCTCAGCAGGTGAGAGCTCTTTCTATGCAAAAACCTGCAACGTCTGCTCATTCCCCTGATCCCACAGTGGAAGGAGTAAACTGACTCCTCCTGGCGCTGTCTTCTGACCTTGACACATGTACCATAACACATGTGTGCCCTGTGCCATGCACACATACACCCTAATAATAATAAAGTTTACATATAACACACACACACACACACACATTCCATTAAACCATACTCAGATGCCAATCTCCTTCACCTCGTTTACATCCCAGATCATGCAACTCAAAAGATGACTCAACTCAAGAGCGATGACTAAGTCTTCGGTAGTAAAGTGGAGCTGTGAGATGAAGAAGAGAGAACACCGTGGTAAGGGAAGGAACTGGGTTTGATGAGGGGTATGTACGGGAGGTGGTATTAATTCCCTAGAGGGACTGTAACAAAGTACCTCGAGCTGCAAACCTTAAAAGCCAGAATTTCAGTTTTCACCCTTCTGGGGGCTGGAAATCTGAAGTCGGGGTGTCTGAGGGAGGTAGTTCCTTGAGGG